GACACCGCCTGCGCCCGGCTGCGCGCGTCCGAGAGCCCGGCGCACCGCCGCGGCTCCTTCCCGCTGGCCTCCGGTCTCGCGCAGGTGCCCCCGGCCCCGCCGCCCGAAGACGACCGCATTAACCTGAACCCGTCCTTCCTCGGCATAGCCCTGCGCTCCCTGCTGGCCATCGACCTGTGGCTGTCCAAGAAGCTAGGGGTGTGTGCCGGGGAGAGCTCGTCCTGGGGCAGCGCGCGGCCCTTGATGAAGCTGCTGGAGATCTCGGGGCACGGCATCCCCTGGCTGCTGGGCACCCTCTACTGCCTGTCCAGGAGTGACAGCTGGGCCGGGCGCGAGGTGCTGATGAACCTGCTCTTCGGCCTGCTGCTGGACCTGCTGCTGGTGGCTGTGATTAAAGGGCTGGTACGCAGGCGCCGACCAGCGCACAATCAGATGGACATGTTTTTCACCCTCTCAGTGGACAAATACTCCTTTCCCTCCGGCCATGCCACAAGGGCTGCCCTGGCGTCTCGGTTCATCCTGAATCACCTGGTCCTGGCCATTCCACTGAGGGTGCTGGTAGTACTGTGGGCCTTCGTCCTAGGTCTCTCCAGGGTCATGCTTGGGCGGCACAATGTCACTGATGTGGCTTTTGGCTTTCTTCTGGGCTACATGCAGTACAGCATTGTGGACTATTGCTGGCTGTCACCCAACAATGCTCCCATCCTCTTTGTACTTTGGAATCAACAGTGACACCATCTCATTTATTATTGGCACTAGGAGTTCTGAAAGTTCCCACATTCAGTGATGCTGACCTAAACCGGTGCCATCCCTTTAGCCCCTCAGACATTTCAAGCTTCCTTTAGGATTTCCAGGGGTCCCACTGTCTTGATGTGTTGCTAGGCCGGAGCATGTGCTGGCCATTATTGGACATAGCCATATTTTGGAAAGAAAAAACAAAAATCCCTCTATTGGGTGTGTTCAACAACTGTGGATCTCCAAAGTGAATGCAAAGAAAACATGCTGACTGGCGATTTATTTAAAGTTGACAGTGTTATGTAGTAATCCCATAAATCAATTTATCACTTGTAACTTGAATTTTAAGAAACAATCTTCATTCTGTAAATATGCATCCAGATAAACCATATACTAATCCTAGTCCTTTTCCTGGGGTAGATTTTAAATGGTATTTTAAAAGTTTAAGACATAGGTTTTTCTTGTTTATTTTCTGAAGATCCATTGCCATAGTTGAAGCTATTTCTTAATCCTGATTTTCTTAATAAACTCTTCCATCTTTATGGATTGGGTAGTGAGATGAGATTATAGTATTTTATCTATCCCTATACACCTCAAATAGCCTTTAGATATTCACTTTGCACTACTCTCTAGTAGTGTCTTTTAGCACTCATAAAACAAGCCAAGATTTTAAAGAAGTACTCAAGAAGTGGGCGTACCTGAGGTTCCCTCAGAAAAGTAAGTATGAGTGTATGGTATCATTTTGGAACTGTGTTCATGAATAATAGCATGGCATGCCTAATGGCCAGGAAGCTAAGCTGCTAGAGAAAGCCAGGGAAACGGAGAGTCTTGGTGGGGTAGACTGACCACACACACCAGTGGCCAGTGGCAGAGGATGGAGCCCTGCTGCCTGTCATCTCTCCTGAATAGAGAAAATGGTCCTCTATCCAGTAACAAAATGGGAGAGCAGTGTGACTTTTTAGTGCAGCTACCTACCTTTTCCATATATACAAGAATGACTGTATACTCATTTCCTTATAAATTCTAAGTAACAGTATTTAACTTGAAATTCTTCAGGAGAGCCTATTGCTATATGAGCGCTCCTAAATTTCTGTTTACATTGACCTTTACATTGAAAGCTGCTTATTCATAGTGCCTCTCCAAACCGTAAGACCAAAGATGACCAAATACATGGTGAACTATGATTATTATTTGACCTGGAAAGACCAAAGAGGGTATGTGCTATAAACATTGCTCTATCTGAAAAGAAAAACTTTTAAATTACCTATGGAACTTGTGTCTTCAGATAATCTTAATGACCAGTTGTTATGGCATTTCTAAATAGAAAAAACTTTGATATGACATACAGGGATGTGGACAGGAACCTAGAGAATGGCTGTGTTAAGTTCTCATGGTGGGGAGCAGATACCTTGTGAGGGTCGGGCACACTAAAAGGAACAGCTGTTCCTCTAAATCAAATAGTCATTTTGCATTCCCACAACATCCTGAACACTGACTACCTCTTCACTTACTGATCAGCAGACTGTGAGGGTCTAAGTGGTCTGAGTTTGTGGTTTTAACCTTTCAGAAATCACTTTTAATTGCAGCAACATCCAGGCCAGATATCTGAAGGCAATAATATTTCCTCTTGCAGTGTCCACAAGTCTGAATATTGGGGACTTACCTTGTGGTTTCATACTTCTAGAATTCCCTGTTTTATTTGTTAGGCCTGAATTTGCTGGCTACTTAAGCACAGATCAATTCACCTGACTTTCTGAGTCATCTTAAGTATTCTAGAATAGAAAACTGACTTCCTTGTAATTGTACACTGAAGAATACCTTTTAAAAATCAAAATCAAATTAACCAATAATGTTAAATGAAACAAGATGAAATCTTAATTTCTGCATTATTGAAGAGGTCACTTGGCTTCTTAAGGGGGTCCTTCATCTTCCTGCACAATTTTGAATGTTTGCAGTTGATATGGTACAACTAATACAATCTATATTTGCTGTCATCAAAATGAAATAAAAAACAGTACACTTTGATTTTTCTTCTTGTGTGTACGATGAAAACTTCAAGTTTGCTGATTGTATGGAGGCTAAAGTGATTGCCATGCTGTTACCATATCCTGTTAGCATTGTGCTTATAAACACCGACACTAGAGAGGCCCCTGACAGCTTGGAAGCCAAGCTCCAGGACAGTCATTACAGATGGAAGGATGGGAAAATGGAGGGTGAACACAGCGGAATGACTGACTCTCAGGAACAGGAAAGTCATTGTGCCCCAGCACCTTACTTAAGGAGGAGTGGTGGATATTTGGTTGATTTCCCTCTCAGAATTAACAAACCAAAACCATAGCTATGGGGAGTATCTCTGAGTGGCTCCTAATGGAACATTATCAGGAATGAAGCTTTTTAAATTATGTTAGTCCTGGGGCTGGAAAGATTGCTCAGTGGTTAAGGACACTGTTCTGGCAAAAGACCCGGGGTTCAAATCCCAGCACCCACATGGAAGCTAACAACTGTCAGCCCTGGGATCCGACTGCAATGCCCAACATGGGTGCATTTATTTACATGCAGGCATAACACTCATACACATAAAATAAAAATAAATATATTTTTAAAAATTGTTACTCCTTGGTTAAAAGAATAGTTTTTAAATACTTTCACAAATCGTTAAAAAGAAAATCCTACTTAACACACGATTATTTTAAAGAAGCCAAGAAACATGTCGGCTTAGGAAGGAAAAAAAATAGGACAGCTTAAGCTTAATTAAAGGTTCAGAGGTCCGGAAAGACCAATGTACTGAATCTTTGGAACAGAAGTATTATTCGTCCCAACAGTGATGTGTGTGTAGTTAAGTGGAAGGAGAACAACCGAGTTATGAAAGGAGGCGCTCTGGTCTCTTACCGCCCGGATCTGCAGCTCCACCACCACCTCCAGAGGCATCCTTCCCTGGGTGGGCGAAAGGACCAGAAAGACAGGTTGTTTTGTGCTGAGTCCTGAACCAATATTTCTTAGTTTACCTTAATTCCTAAAACAAATGTTTCCAGAAGCTTGCCTAGCCCCCTACCCCTTTGTTTCCCCATCAGTCCCCCAGTCTCGCTCCCTCCCACGGGGACAGGTAGCTCACAATAGGCTCTGGAGAGTAAGCTTCCAGAAGGCGGAAGCATAGTGTTACCATGGACACTCAAACGCTCAACCTTCGCCCCAGGAACGCTGGAGAGGCCTCTGCCCAGGCGCCCGCCTAGTGCTCCGCCCTGAATTAAGGTCTGGTCAGGCCCATAGGCCCTGGCCCAAGTGACTGCCTGAGCGACCTGGGAGTCAGTCTGGATATGCTAAGAGCCTTTGCTTTCTTTCCCTCTACTCTTTTTTGTGCCTGGTTACTGTATTAAAATGTTTACAGTTTCCATCCCCAAAGTGGAATGAGAGCATAGCTGTGTTATATAAGCATTTTTTATAACATGCATGTTTTATTAATACTTATGCTAAAGAGTGACATTTCCCTTGATATATAAATTCGACTTAGCATGCACATTATTGCTTCAGGCACACTTTTACCTAATATCTAACCTACCAGAAAAGTGATTTTTGAAATACATTAGCATATTGCTGGTAACCTTTTTTTTTCCAGTTAATTATTTATTTAATAACCACATACTTAGAAGAAGCATTTCATTACAACAGCATTGACATATTCAATAACAATTTTCTGAGCTAAGATGCATCTTTTTCAGAATTGGCTATAAATTTTTAGGTTTACAGTTGAATTATTACAGTTATACAATATTGTACTC